TGATGGGTTTAAATATTCATCTTTGACAACTGTCTTAAAGATGTACTTTGGTTATCCCTCTCCAGTGTCAGGTAGTCTTATTTTTCACTTTCTGTATCAGTGAGTGGTGCTGCACTTAAATCCTTATCTTCTGTAGCTGCATTAATGATGTACTTATCTGTTTACTTACTTTTAAGGTCTGATAGTAAAGGCTGAAAGATGTGATAATGATATCTATGGTAGTGTGGGAAAAATTATATTGGATGAAGAGAGATGAAATGGTTTTTCCTAAAAAAGTGAAACGCTTTCATGCAAGCACTAAGTGATGTGAAAATTAGACCACAGTAGAGGGTGCAAATCCACAAAAACCAGCCAATCTCACATAGAGGCAACCACTGTCATTTTATTTGGAGAATGTGTGATCTTGCTCATGGGAGAAGCCAGGTGCAGGTCTCTCTGGTTCAAAGCATCCAATTAACACAATTGGAAAGTCCAGCAGGGTAATGTAGAGAATGGGCCAAGAGCTTCTCTGCTCAGCTGGCGGGGGCTCTATGTCAGGTTTCCAGGAAACAAATGACATAACTACCACTGTTACCATAGGATTAAGATCTTCAGGAAAGCATCAGCCATTCCTCTCAGAATGTCAGACTGTTTAAGCTGAGTAGGATTTGGAAGAGCATCCAGATGAGTCTTAATTTTTACAAATGAGGGAACTAAGATTCAGAGAGTTGACAATAATTAAGGCGGGACAAGAGCTCCACTCTGTTGAATTCCAGTGCAAAGTGCTTTGACTCTATCATGCTGCCCTATTACATCAAAGTTTTGGAAATCTCTGACAGTGACCAATAAAACGTAACAGAGCTGCAACCCCACTAAGCTGGGATTGTATGTCTTGGATTTAAGCCACTTAATCATCATCATTAGAATAAAACACTGACAGCCTTGCTAAGTTTTAGTCACTGACAGTGAAATGCTATAACACTTCGAAGGGCCAATAGAGTGGCTACATTATAGCAGTCATTCAATACATAACTTATCATTATTAATTTTATTATTAATATTATTATAAAGATACATGGATAAATAGCATTTTTTATTGTCTCTATCATTGTGAATCCCAAAACAAGGGCGGGAAGATCAGATATCTGTAGGTTCTTTCATAATGGATGCTGTAGTTACCAGGATTTCCTTGAAGGCTGGGTCTATATCTCGTTAAACTGAATGGATCATTTGTCTTCTCAAACTGTTGGTTTCCTCTTTGTTCCCTTGTCTAATGAAAATCAGAAACTTTAGTATGGTATTTGGTGTACTTTATGACATGGACTATGTTTATTTTGTAGTTTTCTGTCTTGTTCCCATCTCCTACCCAATAGCTATCCTCTGTCCAAAAGGAAGATAATTTTCTTGAATTAACAATAGCAATATATTATTGCTTTAAGATAAAATCTTTACGTTTAATGGAATGTGGTGGCTGGTGAAATCCTCATTAGCATTATTGATAGTCATGTTTAAGGATAGTTGGAGAACGTCAGAAAAATCTCCACCCCTTTGTGAGTGATGTTAGAACAGCCACCCATGAGAATACTTGTTTCCTTATATGTTTTGGCATTTGCCCTTTATTGGCAGACCTTGAGCTATGTACCTAAACTGTGTTTCTGAAATGCAACCTCCTTGAAGAAATGACTGTCGTTGACAGGTGGCAGGAAGGGAAAACACTATGCAAAATACTTTATGCACATTATCTGTTTTAAGTCTCACGGCAAGCTAGACAGTGGGTATCAGTGTTACTATTTTACAAATGAGAAAATAGAGGTTGAGAAATTCTACTCAATTTGACTCTGGTCATGGGCTTAGGAATTAAAGTGCCAGGTCTCCACAACACTAATGTCTGTGCTATCTCCCCCATACCAAACTGCTTGGCTCTGCATCCTTATATTTACCTGGGAACCCAGAACGTATGAAGGCTTCATCACATTTATGTGGAATGAATGTAGAGACCAAGATTTTGCATGACTCATTAAAAACATAATTCAAGTGTCTGAGCTCTACCTCTGCTGATAACTTTTTGTGGTCTTAGACAAGTCATTTTGGCTCTTGAACTCTTATTTTCTGACCTGCAAAGTGGGACCTAACATCTCTTACTCTAGTGCACGAAGTTCTTTGAGGATAAAATGAGAGTATGGATGAGAAAACACCTTTAATGTAATGCTTCCATTGCAATGGAGCCAGTAAAATCTGCAGGGGTAAGATGACCTGGCACTGCTAGATGTGAATAGCAGCCTGAATTGTCATTCTTCCAAGTCTAATTCATGCTCAGGACAGGCTAACCATGCCTGTGAATGTCTCCTTCTCCCAGATGAAGTGTCCAAGAGGCTTTTGGCTGAGGCAGTAGATGACTCTGCATTAGTGCCATCTTCTTCTTGATACTTCACATACGGCACATGGACAAAGATTTCCAGCCAATAGATGATAGTATAGAAACAACTGATATCATTAGTATTTAAAACTTACAAAAGGAGGCATTTTTGGAAGAAGGAGAGAGATAAAACACCTTTTTTCATAATCAGTGAAAGAAGATGGGAAGGCCAGAGGCCTGTAATGTCTGTGCCGCCCCTGGCACAGTTACACCACCCAGGAAGCCTCTGAGCAATCAGCTTCATGGTCAAAATAAATCGAGTGTGGACTTAGAAGCAGGCATGCCAGGAATCAAAGTTATCTCTAGGCAGTTTTCATTCGCTCATTAATTAAAAATTCATGCACTCAACAATTATTTATGTTGCCAAGTACTGTTTAGGCACTGAGTATAAAATATTGAAGACAATAGGATCTTGTCTCATGTGAAACTTATGTCAGAGTAGGACAAATAGGAAGCAAAGCAAACCAGTAATTGAATTTTTTAAAAAAGGATTTGACATATTGATAAGTGTGATTATGAAAGCAAAACAGAAAAATGTCACTTAATCTTTCTGAATCTGATTTTCATGCTCAGTCCAATGGAATTTAGAGTATCAAATGTGCAGTATTCCTAGGAGGACAGTACCAAGCACAGTGCTGGGCACACAGTGGGTTCTTTGTCAATACTAGTTTTGTTAACCATTCTCTTTGTTAAGGTTCTCCTCCTTGTTCCAAATTTTATAATATGGGTGAAAACAAGTTAAAATAAAGTTTGAAATAGAAAAGTTCTCAGAAGAGTGGCATGTGATCTGAAAGACACTAAGCAAGGGAAAGCATGAAAGATACCGAGCAACGGTTTTACCCATTTTACCTGACATTTTGAAAGAGAGAGGATTAGAGGTGGTTGCCTGTACATGAGTGCTAAGCACACACTTAGGTATGAGCTGGCAAATTTACCTTCCTCTCCCTTATAGAAAGCATCTTCCTAGGTACCAGTAATGAAGCCTAGATCCCCACTTTTATCTCACAGCTCCTCCCCTGTCAAGCTTCATTGCTATATACTTGCAAATCACTTTTACCAATTGTGATGATAGTGGTGGCTACCACTTAATGAATGTCTGTTATGCACTAGGCCCTATGGTTTACATAAAAACCATCTCATTTAATTCTTACATGAGCCCTTTTATTTTTTTCAATTTTTAAAAAGTTAAAGACAATTTTTTTAGAGCAGTTTTAGTTTCCCATCAGTTTTACATACTCTGATATACTCTCTGCACCCACACATGCAGAGCTGCCCCTGTTATCCCCAGAACGATGCATTTGTTACAGCGGATTCACCTACAACGACACACCATAGACATACAAAATCCATAATTTACATTAGGATTTACACTTGCTGTTGCACGTTCTATGGACCTGGACAAATGTATAACGACATGTATCTACCATAGTATCATACAGAGTATTTTCACTGCATTAAATATCATCTGTGCTCCCCCTAGTCATCCCTCCTTCTACCCCAACCCCTAGCAACCACTGATCTTTTTAATGTCTCCATGGTTTTGTTTTATTTCTTTTTCATAGTAAGAAGAACTTAACAGTTTAAGACGCTTGACTTATCAAGGATATGGCAAAGACACTATAGTGTATTTGAAACTGTTTGAGTTATTACAATTATTTTGTTTCAACTTATCATCTTTCTCTAGGGTGTCAGACAGATGCAGACCCTGATGCTTGCTCTCAAGATTGGTTTCCCTTAGCTGGTAGCAAATCCTGGCTTTGCCAAGTTTGTATCCCAGTTCTGTCTCAGTATTGACTTTCCTCCTGGATCCCTGGTGTTGGCAGGTTTAAGAAAGATTAAAGTAAACTCTAACCTTGACACAACCTTCAATATCTACACTGGCCAGGTGGATAGAATTAGGCCAATGTGTAACATTAGGAAGTAGTGGGAACTATTTCAAACAGAAAACACACACCTCATCTAAAAGGGGCAGCTGGCTACTAAGCTCCAATTATTTGTTGCCATAGGAAAAAGTAAATGCTGTTGGTGAAGCTTAAGCTTGAGTTTTATATCTATATGTATGTATGTATGTGTGTGTGTGTATATATATAGGTATGCGTGTGTATATATATGTGTATATATGCATTTATTTTTAAGACATGATGCAATCCAAATAAAATTCATTTGCACATTCATAGGCTTCTGGGTTTTAAGCTCTGAATTTGAGAAGTTGAGTGTGAAAATATGTGAAAGAGCAGAGTGGAGCTCAGCTAAAATTAGTTCAAACTCTTGATATGGCAAGTGTCCCTTTGTGCTTATCATATAAAGAGGGAAATCACTTATTCATGGTCCCACAGCAGGTCAGTGCACCACTGGAACTCCAACTCAGTTTCACAGCTCTCAGACCAATGGCCCTGCTGAAGTACTCTGCCATCTCACTCACAGCTTGGGCAGGTACATAAGACTGACAAGAAATAGCTTTCTCCACTGCTGATTGGATTTGGAGGTTGAAGAAGGCAGGATAAGAAAAGGATTGGATTTAGAGGGATTATATGATTGACTCAACTTAATATTTCTTAAGCTACTGTGTAATTGAAATTATCTTAATATGTTCTCTTCTTCACAGAGACTCTGTCTTTGAGGGCCATCATCATTCCTGTACAAATGAAAAAAATTCTGTATTGCTTAAGGTAAGAAAGAAAAATCTACTAGCTCTTATACTCCACAATGCTAAAGTGTCATATTTTACAGAAAATTTTTATTCACACGAATTCCAATGCAGATGTCTCTGGTTCATTGGCTGTCCTGGGGGAACTCCCTGAAGAATGGTTGGGGGTTCAGACTGCTTCCAGCCTGGGAAAATCATCCTCACATGTCACTAGTAAAGAGGGAGGCTCACACCTGGGAGATGCTTTATATGGGGTCAACGTGGGAAAAGAGTACATCATTTCTCTCACACTCCATTTTCCAGACCTGGTCAGACGGCCCACCCTGACACACAAGGTGGTGGAAAATATGTTTTCTATGTTTCCAGAAATGTGAAGGAATGAACTGGTTAAGATGTAATATTACTTCTACAAGGAAAAAAAAATAACAGAAACAAAAATAGAAAGGCAAATATTCTGCAAATGATTTTTCCCGTTGGAAACTTGATTATGATTGAATTATAAGGATCAAGTTTTGTGGCTGGAAACAGAATTATTACATCTAATGTAAACCGTGCTTAGAGGCCGGTAAAATGCAGGAGGATGAGGATGAGGATGTAGATGGCTTCTTGCCTGCCAGCTGACTTCCAGAAAGACATTCACAAGCATGGTGGGCCTGAGATTCCTGGGTGATTTTTTGGAGGTTAATTCTCAGTGGAAACGTTGTAAAATCTGAAGGGCCAGCCAATCAGAAGCCCTCTCTGATTCTGTCTTGGCTTCTTTTAGAGAGTGGGGTGTGGAAAAAGTTGGCCATTTTTGGAGAATGGAACAGTCTTTACCCGCCTGGCATTCTTGCCTTATAAAGGCATTGTACTTTCTCATACACTGGGAGGCTTGGGTTTTTTTAATGATTATAGAAATTTTTCACCACGAATTTTTGGAAAGAAATATTGTTGTTTCTTATGAGGTTGATAGAGAAAAAATTAGTTAAGAATCAAGGGAAATAAAATGCCCTGTGTGCAAATACAATGACTGTAGCCAGAGGGAAAACATCAGACATAGAGTTGTCTTTAAGAATAAAAACACTAAGCAGACTTGTGCAAGAATATCACATTCGCAGTTAATCTGCAGATGAAGTCTCAAGGCTCCAGACAACCTCTGAAACGAATTGCTTCCTACAAAGGTGAAGCATCCATAATTTCGCTCATCCTTAGGAATAGTAGGCTGAATTTACTGTGATCCATTTGCATCAGGGCATTGGCCTGCAGTGAACATTTCTCTTCATATCTTAGTTTCCAGGTGCCTGGGCAGAGATTCTTTCAATGATAGTCATTATTCCAGTGCTGAAAATTCTAAAATTCAGAATCAAGCATCTTATAGCCTGTATTAATCTGCTATGGCTGCTCTAACAAGTAGCAAAGATCGTGTGGCTAAAATAACAGAAATTCATTCACTCACGATTTTTGGAATCTTAGTTTAAGGTGTCGTCAGGGTCGGCTACTTCTGAAGCCTCTCTTTTTGGCTTGCAGATGGCCATCTTTTTCCAGTGTCTTCATATGACCTTCTCTCTGTAGCAGCCACACTTCCTTGTTTTATAAGGACACGAGTCCCATTAGATTAGGGTTCACTCATATGCCTTCATTTTGATTTAACTACTTCTTTGAAGACCCTGTCTCCAAACAAGGCCACATTTGGAGGCCCTGGGGGTGCGGACTTCAACGTACAAATTTTGAGAGGACACAATTCAGCCTGTAACAAAACCCCATTTTCTGAACTGCCGGCAAGGTTCTATGAGACACCCCTAAATATTCTGGAAGGACAGAAGTTAAAAGTCAAACAAGAAGCTGCAAATATGTTATTTTCTTCTACATACAATGCCTAATCTATTCCCTTGGATTCTTCAGCCCCAAAGAAAAGGCATTCTCTTCTGGCACAAATGAGTTGGAGTTTGGTTTCCTATTACTTGCTATGCAAAGAACTCTTAAACACCATATTCATAGAGTCCCTTCTCCAACACATTCCTTCTCATTGACAAGGACATCTCCTCTGTACTTTCTTCAACCTAAGCACTACTGTCCTACCTCTTGGTTTTATCATGGATGTCTAATACTCCTCTCCCTCTTGAAGGTTCTTTTTCACTCTGATCTTCTGAATTTACCTCCCTAGGATCTCCTTTCTACTTGCTTAGAGCAAAGATGATGTTGTTATAGAAACCTTTCCTTATTAACATCAATTGGAGATGACTTGGGAAAAGAAGTTAGGTGCCTTAGGGGCTGCTAAGAAGGCAAACATACAATATTATTATTTGTACACACACACAGAAAGTTATGTTCCAAAATTCTGTTCAAAGTTAACCTTCCCTTAGAAGCCTTTCAAGTGTAATCCCGTGTCTAATGACCAAATCATGTCACATGAAATCACCACTTAGTAGTGATGCGTTTGGCATAATATGACCTGAAAGTCAAATAGGCAACCATTCATACTGCTCTCTACTCCTTTTCAACCCTGTTTTCTCACTTCATCCTCCTCATCCTCTTAAATACCATATTGGCTCTTTCTATAAGCATGAAGAAGGATATTAGATGAAGGTATATCATCCTTGTAGCTCATTCTGGGCAGCTGTCTTCTGTCTGTATTCTACAAGTATCCTAAAACCCCAAACGATGAGACCGTACTGTCAAAAATTCTTCTAGATATATTCATCTTAGATCTTTTTTTTTTTTGAGACAGGATCTCACTCATTTCACCCAATGTCAAGGTCATGGCTCACTGCAGCCTTGACTTCCAGAGCTCAGGTGATCCTCCCACTGCAGCCACCCAAGTAGCTAAGACTACAGGTGTGTGCCGCCATGCCAGGCTAAGTTTTTTTTTTTTTTTTGTAGACATAAGGTTTTGCCAGGTTACCCAGACTAGTGTTGAACTCCTGGTCTAAAGCTATCCTCCTCACTTGGCCTTCCAAAATGCTGGGATTACAGGTATGAATCACCATGGCCAGCCTCAATTTAGATCTTATCCAACTCCCCTTTTTGTGTGTGTATGTGGGAAATAAGGTCCAAAGATTGATAAGAGATTGATGAATATCTGGAAGTAATTTCCTGGCAGAGATCAACTTGAGTGCAGGTCATCAGATACCCAGGTAGGTGGTCTCTCTACTGATTTCCTTGGACACAATGTGACATTTCTGATTCAAAGCAGCAGGTCTTTCCTTGGAATGATGAGGAGTGCCCAGTGTGACATGTCTTCTTAAATCAAAGGCAACATTGGATATCAACAGGGATATAGAGAAGAGAGACAAATTAAGTTTCCTGAGGTCAAGGCCTGAATATATCTGTAAGTTTAGTTTCATCAGCACTTCACTGTGATATGTTAGGGCAACTGACAGGAGCCAAGGATAATAAAAGGAAATAAAATTTAATCTGCTAAATGAGCAAAGACTCAAGCAGGACCCTGGAGCTTAAACAGAAAGGACCAAGAAGCCAGAAGAGCTTTACTTACAGGTAGAATCAAGAGGTTCTTACACTTTGTGATTCGGAAAGCAGCAGAAAATTCCCCATCCCCCAAATATTTTCCTAATAATCTAACCATTGTGACTAAAATTCTGTTTTTTTGTGCATCATTTGTTTGGATTTCAAAGTCTTCTCTGTTTTAAGAGGCCCTTATTGAAATGGAAACAGTCATGGGATACACAACACCACTTTATGAAATAATCTGTCTGCTATGAAATGAATTGCATCCCCCAAAACATATATTGAAGCTGTAACCTCCCATGTGATTACATTTGGAGATAGGACTTTTTTGATAGTAATTAAACTTCAATGACATTATAAAGGTGGGGCTCTAATGTGATATGACTGGTGCCCTTGTAAGAAGAGGAAGAGACACCAGAGCTCTCTCTTTCTGTCTCTCAACTCACTGTCTCTGCATGTGCTCAGAGGAAAGAGCATGTGAGAACAGAGAGAAGGCAGCCATCTGAAAACTAGGAGGAGAGGTCTCACCAGAAAGCAGCCCAGATGGTGTCTTCATCTTGGGCTTCCAGCCTCCAGACTGTGAGAAAATAAATTTCCATCATTTAAGCCGCCTAATCTAAGACATTGTGTTATGGCAGACTGAGCTGACTAATGCACAGTTTAACTGGAAAAACTCTAAAAGTCCGCTCTGAATACCTCCTCTGCATTTTCCTTCGTCATACAACAACACCTTCCTCACTTTGTTCTCAGTGTTATCTCCACTCTACATGAGCTTTCACCTGCTCCTTTCTGATAGGTGCTTCTGTTTTCTTGTTTGGAACTTGTTGCTACCTTTTGCCTGAGATGTGTAGTCTTTGTTTTCCTGATTTTTGACACTCACGTCCCTCAAATGTTAGCTCTTTCCCCTTAAGTCTTCTTGATCCATAGTGCCACTTTTTGGATCCTAAATAGTTACTTTAACATTAATTATAGAAATACTATTTCTACAACCACTATCTGATGGCTACTACTCCTTCCATTTAAGAATGTAGCATGTGAAAGCCAGTTTTCCTATGTGAGTTCCTACATGAGCTTCCTTGCTCCCCAAGGTATACTTACTCTGTTCTCCAGACGAAGACACAGGATGAGAGGTTAATTTATGTGAGGTCACCCCCTCAGTCCATCAGTAAGCAGTAGGGCTGGTGTCCAAACCCAGGTTGGACTGACTCTGAAGCCAACATTATTTCTTGCCTCCTGTCCCTGGCTTTGCTGGCAGATGAGGCAAATCCATCCCAGGCATCTGTGAAGACGTTTCAGGCAGTACTGTGCCATAGAGCACCCAGCAACTGGTCCTTCCTTGTCTCCTAATAATGTTTAGGAAAATCTTCCATGAGAATAACGTGGTACCACCAAGAATGCAACTCTCAGAAATTGTTCAGTTTAGTCAAGTTAAACAAAGGCGAAGTTATTGAAGGGCAGGCTGTTTTTAAGAATCCAAATGGTTAGCAGGCCCTCATTTTCAGCAAGCTTAAGATTAAGGGCAAATTGCAAGGCCTATTTTACATGCCCCATTAAACTGGTGGGATTCAGTGTGCACAAAAAGTAATTGCCTTTTGATGTGAATAAAGCACAAAAAGCTCAGACAGAGGAAGCATGCCCCTTAATTTATAGTCCTATAGCAGTCTTTCTCTGCAATTACCATCTTAACACTGGAAAGCTTAATATACAGTAATGCTAAAAGGTACACAGCAGAAAAGTCTGCGTCTTCTAACTCTTTTAGGTGAAGCTATTGTCCCTTGCAGTCAGACTCTGCACTTTCTCCACAGAGCTGACAGAGTTCACAACAAGGACCATCAGCAAACCCTGTTGGGGTCAGATGCTTACTGATATCTCTCAAGAGTAGAGGGAGAGGGCCCCCAGGACTGCTTTCATGGCACCCTCCCCAACACCTTCTGAAAGGCCATCCAGGCTTTTCTCTGAGCAGATGCAACTAATCAGATCCACAGATGCCAATGCTTCAGTTACTTGGAAATCATAGTATTAAATCAGTCTTGTGAAGGATTGAATACTTGGATTTCTTTTCCAAGGTATTAATAATTTGAATTTGCTCAGAAAGATCCTACGGGATTAATGTAAAGAGATGATAATAACCCAAAGACTCCTTTAAAAAGAAATAACCCCTGGAACATTTTAAATTGCAGTAAAAATTATGTAAGATAGTTCTTTGAGAAAGAATCTGAAGAAAAAGATATTGAGTCAACAAGTTTTCACCAGAGTGGTATCTGTGTTTCAATCACTGTTATTAAAATTTTCTCTGTCCTTTATAAAACTACAGTTGAAGTTATTAGCCATTATGTTTGGATGTTCTTTATTCAGTAATTGGATAATAAGTTATTGTTTAAGTTTGCCTTCTTCTCTCCCTACCCCTTCCCCAATGGGTTGTTTAACTGTATTTCTTTTTTTTCCCTTTTGACCATAATAATCAAAAGATAAAATACACAGTTATAGCCCAAGAGTTTCAACATACTCAATTCTGAAGTTTAAAAAACCCACTTCTGTCTTATGCACTCTGTTCTTTCTCATTCTTAAATGCCTTGTCTCGTACTGTGCTCTAATCTATACACTGTCACAATTCCTTTAAGAAGTCAACAGGGTACAAAACTTAAAATTAATTTGTTGCTAAGACTCTATTCAGCAGCAGGAGTCATGGAAATATAAGGCTTGAAATGGGCTTGAAAAGTCACCTAATCTAACCCCCATCAGAACTTTGAATTCCCTAGAGGCATCACTGCCACGTGCCTGCCTGCCTTTTGTCTGAACAGTCCATGCCTCTCCCCACCTCAGGCCCCATTCTGCTTTGAGTTTCACTTGGTTATTTATTGTCTATCTTGTAAGCTGCTTGTTGGTGAAGACCATAACTCAATTGCACCTTATCCATTAGGACCTATTCAGCCTTAATGATTGTTTATTGACTTGAGTCAAATGGCAAGTGTCTAGGCCAAGTCAGATAATAATATTTGAATTATTTATCATTGTTAATTTTGAATGGCAGAATACTACCTCCTCAATGATGTGCACATCCTAATTTCCAGAACCTGGGAATATATTATTTTACATGGCAAAAGTGACTTTGCAGAAGAGATTAAATTAAGGATCTTGAGATTTGTGAGATTATCATGGATTATCACAATGGGCTCAATTTGATTGCAATGGTCTTTGTAAGCAGGAGACCAGAGGGTCAGAGTAAGAGAGAAGATGTGATAATGGAAGCAGAGGTCAAAGAAAAGATGTTTGAAGATGCTGTGATGCTGAGTTTGAAGATGGAAAGGGGCTCTGAGAAAGGAACACTAGTAGCCTCTTGAAGCTAGAAAAGGAAGGGAACTGGATTTTCCCGTAGAACTTCCAGAAAGAACATAGCTCAGCCAAAACATTTTTTAAAAGCCTATTATGGAAATATGACCTCTAGAATAGCAAGATAATACATTTGTTTTGTTTGAAGCCATTAAATCTGTGATAATTTGTTACAGTGGCATTAAGAAACTGGCAAAGGAATCTCGGCCAGCTAGAGGTAATCATTTTTAACCTTGGCCTCTGATATGGTTGGGTTTATGTCCCCACCCAAATCTCATCTTGAATTGTAATCCCCAGATGTTGAGGGAGAGACCTAAGGGCAGGTGACTGGATCATGGGGGCAGTTTTCCCCATGCTGTTATGGTGATAGTGCGTGAGTTTTATAAGGGGCTCTTCCTCCTTCCCTTCCTACATACACTCTGTCTCTCACCTGCTGCCATGTAAGACATGCCTTCTTCTCTTCTTCTGCCACAATTGTAAGTTTCCTGAAGCCTCCCAAGCCATAGGGAACTGTGAGTAAATTAAATCTCTTTTGTTTATAAATCACCCAGTCTTGGGCAGTTCTTTATAGCAGTGTGAGAATGGACTAATGCAGGTTCTCTATAGGGTCCTGGAAGGAAAGAAGAAATGAAGGATATAGAACAAAATTTGTACCGACCAGAGGCATAGAGTAGAACATTTTTAGTCTATCTTTATACGTTTCCCAATTAATATTGTTTTTTAGTGTTTGCCTTTTTCTTAACCAAAAAATTACATGTATTAAAAAGTTTCAGAGTGACGCAGAAGACTGGGTGATTTCTGCATTTCCAACTGAGGTACCGGGTTCATCTCACAGTGGCTTGTTGGACAGTGGGTGCTCAACAGTGGGTGCAGCCCACCGAGTGTGAGCTGAAGCAGGGAGAGGTGTTGCC